ACCCTTTAAGTGTTGGGGCCTGGTGGAAGAAGGTCTTCCAGTCACTGATAGGGTGACACTTGAGGATATTGGGATCCCGGGCTCTTTCTCTCTTTTGCTTCCTGGTCGGCATGAGGAAAGCAGCTTTGCAGTATCCCACATCCCAGCCTCAAAGCAACGAAGTCCAAGCTGCCAGCCAAAGCAAACGTTCCCTCTTGATAATTACCTCCGGTATTTTGTTACGGTGACTGAAAGCTGACCTGGGAAACCCTGAGATTCCTCCCATGCTCAGTGATTTTCAGGTAGGACAGGCAAGTTAGCTCAGTTGCTGGCTACTTAGAAAAAAAAAAAAAAACTACATTCTTTTGGGATCACAGGGGGTGATAGTTTTGAAAGCGGCTTGCCGGAAGCCATGGTTGTCTTCCCTTCAACTAACGTCTGATGCAACTCCGGTTCCTGTTGCTTTCTGGTGCGGTTCCCTCCCCATTTGTCTGAATCCCGGTTGTTCCGGTTCGCTTTCATGATCCTTCCTATAGATGAGAAAGGCCATGCTTGTGTCTCAAGGCTCAGTTCACATGCTGGGTCTTCTTGGCAGCTGCCTTGGTGAGTAGAGCTTGCCCCGTCCGCTTCTCTGTTGCTGTGATAACTTGGGGAGGAGAGGGTTTATTTCATCTTAATCCTTGTAGTCCATCACTCAGGGAAGCCAAGGCAGGAAATTAAGGCAGGAACTTGAGGCAGGAACTGAAGCAGAGGCCATGGAGGAGTGCTGCTTACTGGCTTGCTCACCTTAGCTTGCTCAGCCTGCTTTCTTTTTTTTTTTTTTTTTTTTTTTTTTTGGTTTTTCGAGACAGGGTTTCTCTGTGTAGCTTTGCGCCTTTCCTGGAACTCGCTTTGGAGACCAGGCTGGCCTCGAACTCACAGAGATCCGCCTGGCTCTGCCTCCCGAGTGCTGGGATTAAAGGCGTGCGCCACCACCGCCCGGCTCAGCCTGCTTTCTTATACAATCTAGGGATAACCTGCCCGCGGGTGGCACCGCCCACATTGGGCTGAGCCCTCCCCCATCAATTGTCAATCAAGAAAATGCATCATGGGCTTGCTACAGGCCAATCTAGTGGGCACAATTCCTTAAGGGACATTCCCTCTTTCAGGTGACTCTTAATTTGTGTTTCACTGACAAGAGCTAACCAATGCAGAGCCCCATCCTGACTTCTATATAAGCTATAAACACCATTTGGTGACTAAGTGTGAGCTACGAGGGACATTTCTCATTTAAACCACCACAAGCATTGACCTCTGACCTGTCACGCCTTCCCTAGTAATACTGAAAGGCAAAGCAAGGGACCCTGCCCTTCTTTAGCACAGAGATCAATGCTTAGCACATAGTCAGCACACTCTAGAACACGGTAGGTACCTGCAAGTATTCTTACCACTATCTCCATTGCTCCATTCTCCTGCCTCCATCTCCTGCGTGCCGGGATTACATGTGTGCCACAGGACCCCCCCCCCCCCCCCCCCCCCCCGTCTCCGTTACTGCTGCGGGCTCTGCTGATTTCCGTCCCATAGCCTTGTGGTCAGGAACCAACAAGTGAGACTTTTTAGGTGCCATCCAAGCTAGTTTTTATAAACTAAGTCAGGTGTGTGTATCAGTTGAGTCAATTGATGGCTCCAGTTCTAGATTCTTGGGAGGTAGAAAGTGGCCCCAGGAGAGTGTAGGGATCCTGGTGTGCCACATCGTCCTTGTGGGGAAAGGGTGTTAGCAGATGGGTGGCTAAGAATCTTCTGCCAATGCCTAAGCAAGTCTCTAGTGTGAAGTCACCAATTTGGGTCCCACTGATGTGGACTGCGGGGACCGTGTGTTTGACTTGCCGTCGTGAAGTCAGATGAGCATCGGTCCCTTGCCCAGGGAAGAGGCAGAGGCTAGCCCCAACCTGAGTCATCATGGGAGAGGTTGACAAGGGTTCAAGACAGAGATGTGGACAGGGCTTAGAATGATGTGGGGCCCCGAGGTTGGCAATAGAGGGAGCTGTCATCACTTTGCAGAGTGGGGCTGGAGCTGGGTTTTTCTGGTCTGTGACCAGTGGGAAGTCCCCTGAAGAGTAAGTATCCAGGGTCTAAGGTCTCTGTGTCCCCTGCTGGCCACACTCAGCAGGAAGCTAGACACCACAGATACCCACCAACATTCGGGACTTTTTCCCATCGGGAAATAAAGATCTGTGGGCTTTCTCTCAACAACTATTGAGTGCATTCTTCCTGTCTGTGTCTCCTCTGATAACCTGTGTCACTTTTGCTTCTGAAATCTTCCAGGTGTGGCTGTGCATACCTCAAATCCTAGTACTGGAGAGGTGGAGACAGGAAAATTGTGAGTTTTAGGCCAGCCTGAGCTACCTGGGTAGATCTTGTCTCAACAAACAGCAAACAGAAAAGAAAGTGTCCATGAACAATGACTCCCAAGGACATCCCATTCCTTACATCCCTAAGAAACCATCACTTTGCTCTTGGTATCCAAAGACGTGCCTCCTCTGGTGAATCCTTCGTATAAATGCATGATATGCCATTTCTCATTTTCTTCCTGGTTTCTTTCACTTAGCATAATGTTTTCAAGTTTGATCCATCTTGTGTATGAATCAGTTGTTCATTCCCTTTTGATGGCCCAAATAATATTCCACGGCCTGAGCATACCATATTGCGCTTAATCCATTCATCTAGGATGCACATTTGGTTGTTTGCACCTGTTGAAATATGTTGCTAGGTTTTTCAAGACAGGGTTTCTCTGTGTAGCTTTGTGCCTTTCCTGGAACTCACTTTATAGCCCAGGCTGGCCTCGAACTCACAGAGATCTGCCTGGCTCTGCCTCCCGAGTGCTGGGATTAAAGGCGTACACCGCCGCCGCCGCCGCCGCCGCCGCCACCACCACCTGGCCCTGTATCTTTTCATTGGTAGTTTCAAATATTTACATGGTGAGTTTTAGACATTTTCACCCCCAGTTCTCCTCCCTCATTCCCCTCCCTCTCCCACTGACACCCTTCTTCTCAACAAGGTCTCCTCCCATCTCCAGGTCTTCTTGAAATCCATGGTCCACTGAATTTAATTAGACTGACCAGCCCGAGTGTGGGCGGGAAGCTTCTCAGTGAAGCAATGGCAGGCTATCTGTGGCTACACCACTGAAGACAGTGATGCCTTCCCACAAGCATCCATCTTCAGGAGTCCCTCTGGGACGGGTGGGGACCCCCAAGTCCCTTCCCCATCCATGACGAAACGTTGATGGGCCCAGTCTTGCCAGGAGTCCGACGGCCACGTCATGCCCACAAGACATCTTTTTGATACACATTCTCTCATCCCCAGCTCTTACCTCTTTCTGACCCCCTTTGGTGATGTCTCCTGGGCCTTTGAGGAGTTGTGATATGTGTCCCCATGGGTGTGTGTGTGTGTGTGGGGGGGGTAAGCATGCCACCATCACTTATTTTCAGTGTTTTAACCTCTAGGGCAATAATGGCATGAACACTATGCCAGCAACCAACCACTTTACAATTGCATTTGAGGCCTGTCCCACTGGAGGGAACTCTTGTCTGGTTCTGGTAAATTGGATCAAGAACCCTTTTCTGGGGAGACCAAGATGGAACCTATTATTCCTGTTTTGCTAAATAGTCATGTTATCAAACTGCCTTCTAACCACTTGGGTTTATACTAATTGATTGGTGCTGCCTGCCTCCAGACTTCATCAGACAATCTTCTCACTGGAGCAGGCGGTGTTTACTGGGCGCTAGTTTTTGATGTTTGGGGCGTTCGCTCGCTTGCTAGTTCTATCTCCTCCCCCATACTCAGCCCCGAGAGAGCCTCATTGTATCCTGGCTAGTTCTTAGGAATCCGATTCTCAGTAGGGATCTCTCTCTCTCTCTCTCTCTCTGGGTGCCTATGTGCTGCCTCTCCCTGGGCTGCCATTGCCCATGTTTCCCCAGACTGCACCTGCTCTTCAGGAGAGAGGTAATAAGAGCTTTTCTCTCCCCCCCCCCCCCCCCCCCCCCCCGCGCCCCTGGTGGCGCTGGAACTTCCCACGGGAAAGGGACACAGCAGTGGCTTGTAGCACAGGGCACTGGGGTGTGTGCACATGAATGGATGAGTGAGAAAACTAGTCTGTCCACAGCTCTGTCTGGAACAGGGGGAGATGGAGGTGTGAGCCAAGCAGACGAATAGGCTGCTTCCAAATAGGGAAGGATAATGAGCCTCTGGATTTTCTTATCCATCTACCTACCGACTACCTACCTACTGACCTACCTACCTCACACTTTTTATTATTTATCAATTATTTACCTATCAATCATCTACCTGTCATTTATCTATTCCTATTAATAAACTTTTTAGTTTTGGTATAGAGAGTGGTACTTACCTTCAGGGCCAAAATTCAATTCATCCCACCTCCTCACCCCCAGACAGGGTCTTACGTCATCACACAGACTCGCCTGGAACTTCCTAGTTTCTGGGACTGGCCAAGGATGACCTTGTACTCCTGATCCTCCTGCCTCCGCCTTCCAAGGCATGCAAGACCATGTATGATTTCCTGCAGTGCTGGGGATGGAACCAGAGGTTTCTTGCATGCTAGTCTACATAGAGTTTCTCTATGTAGCTCTGGCTATCCTGGAACTCACTGTGTAGACCAGGCTGGCCTTGAACTCACAGAGATCTGCCTGTCTCTGCCTCTCCGAGTCCAGGGATCAAAGGCGTGTGCTCCCACGCCTGGCTCAAATTCTGTTTCTAGTCACAGATGATGCCCACGCAAATGTACAAAAAGCAGGTGTGTGTGTGTGTGGGGGGGTATGGTATGTGCACTCAGGTAAGGAAGGCGGTTACTGCTGCATGGACAGAGCCTGTGGGACTGTAAGAAGAGCCAGGCCTGGCTTGGGGAGCCCTTTCCTTTCCAGTCAGAGCTTTGTGTTGCAAATCCCCCTCTCCCCCTCCCCTTCTGCACTGACATCACCCTGGAAGCCAGACTGCACTGACAGAAAAACAAATCTTTATTTCCCCAGGTTGGCGAAACCCTGTGTCCTTGGAGGAAGCTGCTTCCCGTTTTCCTGAGTGGGGGGAGCCCGGAGCTTGGAAGGAATCGGAGTGGAAAGGCCCACCCAGAGCTGATGGTGGAAACACGGACTGAGGAAGCCCCTCGGGAAGTCCAGCTGCAGAGATAGCCACCCCAATGCTATTTACATATAGCTATATATACATATATACATACACACAAAAAGAAAATACAAAATTCCGTATCTGTGCATGCCTGCGGGAGACGTGGTCCCTCCCCTTTCCGCACCTTGCAATGTGAACTTTGAGACTTTGTAACGTCCAGGGCAGCAGGGGAGAGAGATGCTTGCTGCTGTGTGGGGGCTGAAAAAACTCACATGGACTGGTGGGATCAGCCTCAGCATGGACCAAGCACCCAGGACAGATGCTGGCGTGAAGTAGTGAGAGCGCCCGCCAAAGGTGGGATGGACGAAGACAGGGGGGATGTGGGGCCCTTTTGGTTGGGGGCAGCCTCCATTTCTTGACATGTCCCATCCTCTCTCTCTCTGTCCCTGTCTAGAAAGCTCTCTAGATTCTCATGGTCAGTCACAGCCAGAGAAACGGGATGTCATTTTCTTTTCCTACCTATCTGGTGTGTGTGTGGTGCTTCACTTCAAATTTTCTTGGTGCTAAGTGTGTCCTTGGCATGGCCAGAGTCTTAGTGACAGACCCGGACAACGGCCGGGGGGAATGACAGGTTTCTATTTTGCTCTTTGGATATACTCTTTTTTTTTTTAAGGGCCAAGTGACAAAAGTACCACTGGAGAGTCTCTCTATGTGGGGAAGGGGGGAATGCTCCCTGGGGCTTAGGAGCCACCCCCTGGGGGCCTGGGAGGGAGGAGGGGTAAGCCAGGAGATGGCAGTACCCCCTGCCCCCTGCAGCAGTACCCTGAGAGACTGCTGTGGCCTCCCCCACTTCCTGAGGGGATTCAGGGCTTAGGTTTTTATAGATTAAAGAGCCAAGAAACGGCTGCATTCTGATGGAGCGTGATTTATAAGCAGGGGATGTTAGGGGAGGGGGAGGCGGACCTTTTAAATGAAATGTCCAATTCCCCTGCTCCCCAAACACACATAGGATAAGCTACTGTTTTCAGAAGTTTCTAGAAGGGCTAATATAAATATACATATAAATACATATATATATGTAAAATGAAGCTGTGCGCCTGACTGATATTTGGCTGCAAAGGCTTACTGCTTCAGAAGTGATGATTTAATTTTTGCTTTCATTAAAAAAATTTTTTTTTTCCAACAGAAACAGGTATTATTCCTCTGCACGGATACTTTATTACCTCCGTGGCAGTCTTCGTGGCTGAGATGGTGAGGGAGCCTGCTGTGGGCTCAGTGAGACAGTTAGTCTGAGTTTTGATTTTTTTTTTCCCCCTTTTTAAATTTCGGAGACAAGGTCTGGCCCTGGAGCCCAGGCTGACCTCCGCCCTTGAGCCTCGTGTCTTGACATCTGGCATTTGGGACACTGCTTGCCAGGGGACAGTCACTTTCCCCTGGCTGGATCTGCAGGTCACTTGTCTGGTGCCTGGGGATCAGGGGGTCTGCTAGGAAGCATTAGTTATTAGGGTGCACAGGGCTACAAGGGAAATGGTCCCGCCAACTATGCCGAGCGTGACCAGGTCCTAAAGGCGCACTCTCCCAGTTTGTTCCCCCCCACCCTTCTCCATATTGAATCCATGCCTTATATTTCTCTAAATAACCTATTAAAGAAAACGCAACTGAGAACTCAATGCCCTCCCCACCCCACCCCACCCCCCCTTTAGCTGCCAGAACTGAACTCGGCAAAGGAAAATAAATAGCTTATTTGGCAGGGAGGCAGCAGGCAGCAGGCCCGTGCCCTCGCCAAGCCGGAATGACATAGAATGATCTGGAAAACACTCTCTGTTTGTATTTAGTCCCTTTCCTAGCAAGGAACAGAGCCCTTGCAAAGCACTGTATTTCCAGGGAAGGTGCTTGCTATGGTGGAAATCACAGAATGTCAGCCCCTTTAAAGAGATATTGTCAAGATGGCAGCGGGGACATGCTGACCCCGGAGAAACCCAGCGCGAGGGTGAGAGGTCAGAGAATACCTCCCTTTTTGTGTTTTGTTTTTGAGCCTGACATTGCGGACGATATCTCCCTGGAGGATGTGAACTCCAAACACAGGGGTTGGCCTATCCGGTGGTTTTCATTTCAATGAAGCTGTGTTGCTGAGAGAACCCGGGCACCCATGACCTCCCGATGGAGCTTTTCAGCCAAGTCCTCTGTAAATACTCCCCTGTAGAAATGGAAACCACATATTTATCGGATCTGGGGGGTGGGGTGGGGAGGCTTGGCTCCCACGCCGCCCGCCGCCGCCTTTCATTTGAGGGCGCTTCTTCTCCACTGCCCCGAATTTGATGGGGGTTGTTTTTAAGTGCTGTTTTTATATGAGGTTTGACTTCTTGATGGACATTTGTATTAGGATACTGAAGCATGCTAGCTGTGTCTCTCTCGTCTCCACTGTCTCTGATGTGGTGTTACTTGGACTGCATGAGATAGGGGGATGGGCTTTCTGTTGACGGTGTTACTACAAAAAGAAAAAAAAAAAAACAGAACAAAAAAAAAAACCCAAAACTTCCACAGTGTGTGAAGTGCTGGCACCATCCCTCCCTTTATCCCCTGCTTCCCCTGGCTGCCAAGGAGCATTGATTTTGATTTGCCTCTCCACAGAGTCTGTGAAGAGGGAAAGAGAGGGAGAGAGGCTTTGAAATAAATTTTAAAAAGACCTCATGCTGGGTTTCAGCAGTGTGTGTGTGTGTGTGTGTGTGTGTGTGTGTGTGTGTGTGTGTGTGGTATGTGTCCATGCAAAGCCTAGGAGGCCTCTGAGATCATTGCTAGGGAGCTGGCTGTGTGAGGAGATGAGGCGCTATCTGCCACCTGGGTCCAAAAGCCGCTGCCTGCTCTCTGAGGGTGAGGGCCCTGGAGTCTGTGCGACTAAAGCCTTCCGGAGCAGGTCCACTCCCTTCTGGAAGCTCCTCTCCTTTACCTCATCCTCAACAAGCAAGAGCTCTGTTCAAGTTTGGGGTTCCATCTCCCTTGGCCTAGATGGAGTCTTGAGTCAGAGTTCTTTAGGAGAGCGCTGTAAGGGCAGTGTCCTGGGCCAGGAGGGCACCCCCCAGCCCCCGAACACTTCCTGTCACCATTCCCCCAGCATCGTCGTGGTTGGTCATACCTCTTCCTCAGCTCTGTGGATAGCCTTGTTCTGTTTCTACTGTGTTGAGGGATGGTGACTTAAACATACTGTCACAGGATAAAGAGGACGTGAATGCCTCGATGCCACATCACACAGCTGAGCTCATGTCTCGTGTGCACCTGACTCTATGGTCATGTCTCTGAAATGGACCACGTGTCCCTTTCCTCACCGAGAACTGAGGGAGGAAGCACCCTGCATGCATACCTTTGGGAGACGCTGAGTCACTACCGTGGACTATTTATGTTTGTTGTTACCGGTTTTTTGAGACATGGAGCCCAGACTGGTCTTGAACTCACTATACAGCAGAGGTTAACCCTATACTCCTGATCCTCCTGCCTCTGCCTCTGCCTCTGCCTCCTGATTACAGGTGTGGGCCACCGTACCTGGCTTGTGCTGCAGACTGTTTGAATGTCCAGAGTGAACGGTTAGAAGCCGCAGTGACCGCAACCCAGGTTCTCTTCTGGGTTCATACTATTTTCTTTTCTGAGCCTGAAGTCAAATTGGGGGAAACCAGGGGGTCAGAAGTCAGTGGAGGATTTGGGGAGGCAGGGGTGGAGGGAAAGCAGATTATTCCCACTCGAGCTGATCAGAAGCCCCACAAAGAGGGCACACTGACATCACACTGTCTTTTGAAAGCGTTAGCCAAAAGTTTATCTTTTTAAACATTTTAATCCATTCAGTTGACACCTGTTTATTGAGCAGCTACAGCGTGCCAGCCGGAGACCTCCAACTCGGGACAAATTTAGTTATGGTACAGCAACAGTCCTCTTGGAGACCAGATGCCGTGAAATGTCCCTTTTCAGTCTGGCTCATAATTTATGACAGATCTGCCAGGTCACCATTGTGACCCCACGCCTTGCTGGCAGATTGCTATATAGTATTTTTCTGCATGCCACGCTCTGGGCTGAATGCAATTAAAAAGCTTGCTATGCTGTCTCCTCAGCGGGAAGATGGGTCCTTTTGTACAATAATCAAAGACCCCTTCACAGAGCGAGTACCGCCGCTGCCGAGCGCTGCACGAGGTGCTTGCCAAGGCTTTTCCTGAGAGATTCCTGCCCAAGTGCTAGTACCATTGATCCCATTTTACAGGTGAGGAAGCCGGAGGCAGCCGACGGCGAGGTGGCTGAGCCAAGGTTTGCATTTGAGTCTGTGTGATCCCCCAAGCCAGTGAGGTACCTGTATTGTATTATATCAAGGGGCTCTGATGTTGCTCATTTAAAAGCAAGCATTGTGTTTGGTAGCAAGGTTTTCTAGCTCGAGGGCAGATGGGCAAGGACACACCTGCAGGCCACCGTGGAGTGTCTCGTAAGCTCAATGGGAAGAACACCTTATTTGGGGACACTTGAGAACAGGATGGATGACTTCAGGGGTTGCCCTCAGTTTCAATAAACTCCCGGGGGCGTAAGGGCTTGTCTAAGGTGCAAACGGCCTGTCCCACTCACTTCCTAGGCTGTGGGATGTTTTTCTTACCCTCTCTCATCTGTCTTCTCCCCCGAACCCCAGACCCCCCGAGGTCTTTGCACTAGAAGAGTCAAGGAGCCCATATACACGGCAGAGGTGGCTGTGAGGGCATTTGGAGCCTGGGGGAGAGGCAGTTAACTTGGGGGACATTCTGTCTGGGTCCCGACCTTGTTGCCTTGTGCTCTTTTGTAAGGGGGATTTCCTACCTGGACGCTTTGTACATATTTGTTACACTTTTATTAAAAAAATTGATTGTGCACCTCTCATGAAGGCCCTTGCGTGTTCATTTCCTCTGGGAAGGTGGGGCCTCGGAGACCACGAGAGGACCATGGTTGCACGGTGACAGATGATTCCTGACCTGCACAGGCCCCCTTCAGCCTGCCAGAGAGCGGAAGGCCACACCCTTATCCTCCCATTTTGTGTGTGTGTGTGTGTGTGTGTGTGTGTGTGTGTGTGTGTGTGTGCTCATGTGTGCTTGCACATGGAGGTGAGAGGTCAACCTCAGGAGCTGTCCACTTGTTTTGTTTTAGACGGGATCTCACTGTGTAGCCCTGGATAGCTTGTAACTCAGTAAGTTGACCAGGCACTCAGAGGTCCACCTGTCTCTGCTGGGATTAAAAGTATGTGCCACTCCACCTTGTCTTTGGAAACTGGGTCTCTTCACTGACCTGCAGCTTGCTGAGGCAGCCAGGCTAGGTGGCTAGCAAGTCCCTTAGGGGCACAACTGTCACCTGATGCTATTAATTTACACAGAGGTTTCTACCCCTTGTCTAGACCCCTGGCAAGCTCTGTATTTATTTCTCTAAATTAGTTTGGTTTTTGAGATAGAGTTCACTGTAAGTCCTCCCCTAGTCTCACTATAGTTGTGAACCGTGACCACCAATTCCACACCGCCACCCAGCGGCGGGGTGTGCCGTGACGGCACCCCTTTCCCGATCACCACCAATTCCACACCCCCACCCAGCGGTGGGGTGTGCTGTGACGGCACCCCTTTCCTGATCACCACCAATTCCACACCCCATCCAGCGGTGGGGTGTGCTGTGACGGCACCCCTTTCCTGATCACCAATTCCACACCCCACTCAGTAGTGGGGTGTGCTATGACAGCACCTGGCCAGCAGTGAGATGTGGGGCCTCCAGAGTGACAGGCCAAAGTGCCTCAAAGGTCCCCTCAATTCACAGTCAAGGATCCCCTGGTGTGTTTTTGTGGGTACTCAAGTCAGAGAGGGGTAGTCTCAGACACAGCCTATGCTACGAGCCCCCCTTGGGCTGTCCCTGGAGACCGTCTCCCCAGAAGTGACCGTCCAGCGTGGCTCCCCCTCACCTCTACTCTTGTGTGTACGTGCACACATGTCGATAGGGAGGCCAGTGTCTTCATGTGTCTCTCTCCACTTCACTTTTGGAGGCAGGATCTCTGAATTCGGAGCTAGGCTGGCTGGCCCCAGGAATCTGCCTGTCTTCCCCGCCCCCACAGATTTGCTGCCACACCCGGCTTTTTACAGGGGTGCATGGGCTCTCGGGATCCAAACTCGGGTCCTCATGCTTCTGTGGCAAGCATCCTCCCTATGGAGGCACCTGCACACACAGCCAACCCACTTTCTCTTCTTCCTTTCTTGGCTTCTCTAGGGAGAATCACCCGCTGCATCTCCATGGGTGCTGCATGCCCCGAAACAGGTCTATCTGGCTTCAGGAGGCAGACTGACCCACGAATACAAGTAGCATCCACAGGGGAGGTTTATTGGCAGAACAGTCTCAAAGATACCAAAGATAGCCACATGTCCCAAAGGAAAGCACCACAGACCTCAGGACTGCTGCCCATTTTGTCCTTAGCATCGGGAAGTTCCCAAGGCTCCATACCTGTGTGTTATTCCCTTTGGAAAATGCTGGCCCTGTTAACCTCTGTCCAAAGCAGGTTTTTCTTCTTCCCACACACTTCTTGAAGACTTATTTTGTTTTAAATTACGTGTGTGCATGTGCCTCCCCCCTCCCCCAACATACACACACTCTGTACACGCCATATGTGTGCCAGTGCCTGTGGAGGCCAGAAGAGAGCTTCCAATTCCCTGGAGCTGGAGTTGACAGTGGTGAGCCCCTTGGTGTGAGTGCTGGGAACTGCCCTCGGGCCTGGGGAGAGCAGTAAGCACTCTTAACCACTCTGCCCTCTCTCCCGCCCTCCCTACATCCATTATTCCCAGGGTTCTTCTGCACAAACAAGACGCTGGGGACTCAGTGCCATCTGAGCCTGTGACCCACAAAATACTGGGAGCCAGATACAGAACCCCTCAATACAAAGGACTCACGTGCCAATACAGATGAAGACTGTGGCAGGGTTCTCCAGGGGACACCTTCCCATAGCTCAGTGTGTGGGAAACTCTGCCTTTGCTAGGGCAGAAGAGGAGTCATCTAACCTGGAAGAAAAACCCCTGACGGGATATATGAGCAAAGAAGATCCTAGACTATATCATCTCACTGTCTCTAGGGAATGCCCCGACCTGTGGCATTCTTTATATGGCAGGTGTATAGTTTATATTTACACAGTGTTAGAAAAGTAATGGGGGTGGGTGGTAAAACCATTGGAGCACTCACCAGTGACCCACACCATTAGTTTACATTTTCTCTCCCTTTTAAAGTCTCTTGTAGCCCAGGCTATCCTGGAACTTGCTTTGTAGCCAAGGAATGACCCTGAACTTCTGATCCTCCTGCCTCTACTTCCCAGGGCTGGCATGGCAGGTGTGCACAGCCATGCCTAGTTTATGTGGTGCCGGGCATGGAACTCGGGGCTTCCTGCATGCTAGGCAAGCACTCTACTCAATGAACTACACCTGAAGACCTGTTGGCTTTCTCGGTCCCAGCATGTAACATGCTAGGTTTTGTAACTCCACTGATGGCTACGGGGTATAGGGGCATCGAAGAGTCACGCAGAGCTGCGAGTCGCCTTTCCCAAGCCCGAATTCCAATGGCTGCCTCTGCTCTACCCGACACTACACTTCCGTGAGTCTCCCCCAGCTCCAACCCCTCCACAAGGCAGACAAAGCGATCTCTCTGATAAAAACAACTTGCAGGCGGCTCCACTGCTCTCCCGAGGTACCCCCTCGGGCCAGAGAGAACAGAGAGATCCATCCTCCCTTTCCTCTTAGAACATCCAGACAGCGAGATTGTTTAACATCACGGCTATTGCCATAGTAACAGAGCTTAAAGAATGTTGTGGTCTCCTGGAAAGGGTGTCTTGCTGGTACCAAAGAAAGAGCCAAGGAGACCAAGCAAAGGAAGAAGTCCAGGAGAGGGGGTGCCCGGTGGGGGGGCATGAGTCCTGAATCTACTGTGGGGGAGGGAGACGGCAGTGAGGCCCCCATCTCCCCCAGGGCATGTATGCTAATCTGCCCACTAGCCGTACACAGTTTTCTCAAATGTGGCTGGGGCCAGCCTGTTGTGAGGATGTTGACAATGAGAGAACAGAGTTGGGAGAGGGTGAAGGCAGGCTTCCAGAGGCTTCTGTGTGGTCACCTGTGCTATCTTAACCCATGTTTCCAAGCAGAGAGTTTCCCGACGGGAGAAGCAGCTGTGTCTTAGAGACTTGAGTGGAGTGCACCTGGGTGCCTGCTCCCAGCGTTCCCTGTGGTCCCTCTCCGGCGTTCGGTTAAAGATATAAAGCAGTCTTTTAGAGACTCTGGAAGGACTGTTGTTTCTCAGAGCTAATTAACTCACTAGAGAGAGGGAAGGAAAAATGGACTGAGTGCTCCGGAGCCGAGTGCCATCTATGATTGAACTGTTAGCTCCCAAGGCTCCCAGGAGGGGTAGCCATGTCCACCAGAGCTTTGCACCAGGCCTGAGCTGTCAGGGAGGGACAGTGCAGAAGAGAAGGAGAGGAGAGAAGAGATGACAGAGGCCCGGTAGCATGCATACACTTCTGGACCCTTTTGAGATGGACTGTCCCTGGCAGAGCCCAGGAAACAAGGACTCAGGAAGGTCAAGTCTTTCCACGGCTCCCACCATTTGACCTCAGGAGCCAGGATTCAGAGTCTGTGCGCTCAGCACAGTGCCTCTGCTGTGTGCCACTGATCCTCGGCCAGTGAGGGGACAGGAGAACAGCCTCTGTGCTTTCGACACGCTAGCTCTGCTGTGCCCTGTACTTGCAGCAACAAACAGCACCAGGCAGAGCCGGAGACCCATCGGCCTGTGCTAGCTGGGGTGACCGCACCTCACCTCACTTCTTATCTCGGTGACCTCCTGGAGGAGGGTGAAGCCTGGTGCTCACGTGTTGAACTTTCTCCCCAGTGGCTCTCATTTGCAGACCTGGGTGATGTGCCAAGAAGCTGAACTCTTTCAGCTCATACCGGTTTGTAGCATCGAGTACCAGCTGCTGGGAGCAGTTAAATAAGGGGAGATTGTGTAAGGGCAGTTCCTCCATTTCGAGGGGATGGATCACCTACCTGCAGGGAAGCCACGCCTGAGTGAGGAGGGCTTCCCTTTCTGGAGGGGCAGGACGCACACACTGCACCAGGGTGATGAGAAATTTGTCGGTGGAGAGGCCCTGGGGCCATCAGGTAGAGGTGGTGGAAGGCAGGAGAAAGCGCTGGAGGTTGTTTCCCAGGAATCCTTGGGGCTGGGCTCAGTTGTGCCGGGCCCTCTGGCATCTCCAGACACTCATGTTCAGCTTAGTACACCTGCAAGTGTGCAGACGTGGCCCCATCCTTCCAGCAGCGCAGGGTATCCACGGCAACCGAGCGGCAGAGTGGGCAGGTGCGCTCCCGGTCCAGCCACAGGCAGAGGCACTCCTCACAGAACACGTGCTGTGGCGGGGGACAGCGGTAGGAATGAGTGTGATCAGGAGCTTGGGGGCAGCAGCAAACTAACCAGGCCATCCATGCCCTCCAGGAGGGGAGACAATGAGCCCACCATGTCTGAAATAGAAATGTCAGTAGCTGGGTGTTCTGGCTGGAAGGCAGAGGTGGGGCCTGGGGAAACAGCCCTGCGAAAGTAGCTCCTCCTGTGGGAGGGCAGAGTTGGCTGGGGGTTTGGCACACCTTATCAGCATGTGCAAAGGTCCTGAGGCCAGGATGTGTGGCTGAGTGGAGGGGCGGGGGATGCTGAGGCAGATAGACACACACAAAAAAATGAATATGAGGTCAGAGAGCTGATGAGAACTTGTGAGCCGTGTGAGGATATGGACAATTTCTCTTTTTGGTGGACATCATCTTTCTTTGAGACAGGGTCTCACTCCGTAGTCTAGAGTGACCTGGAACTCACTATAAAGCCAAAGTTGGCCT